AGACAGTAAAGTATATGGATTTCATATATACAGACATCAGCAAACATCCAATAATCTAATGAACCAAACAATATAGCTGTAGACAGTAGTTGTTAATACATACTGTGTATAACGTTTACAAGGCTGTTGGATAAACATAAACATTGAGTCCTGTTTTTTTTTAAGCCATACTGTAGGCTGCAGCTTCCATTTTCACATTTGTGTCAGTAACAGGTTTGCACAGCACTGACTGACTAACAGCATTTGTATGCCTAAACCCCATCTCAGCATTACAATCAAATCACATTCACTGCAGTTCGTCTCCCCCCTCGCCTACAGAAATTAAATCCTTTCCTCCTCTTTCTGTTCTTCTCGTTCTGTCTCTCTTACACATGCGGTCACATCGTTGACATACTTTTGCAGTCTAATCTTTTTTTTCCATTCACATGGTTTTTATCAAATACACGGAGACCATACACAAACACGCACAGCCCAAGTGGCTATCTGTCACCTGGGTGTAAGGGGCAGCTGTTGGTGGGTGGGTCACTAGGGACGTTGGATAAGGAAAAGAGAAAAGATAGCAGAGAAAAGGGGGATGAGCGAAGGCCGTCTGCCTGTCCGGCAGCCATGCAGCAGCAACCAGATGGAACAAGACTGAAAAAACTGGGCTTCTCAAAATCCAGCTCAGTGCCTCTCCCACCCAGCGTGTGCGTGTACATGCCCGTGAATGAATCTGGGATGTAGGCGGGGTGTGCTGAAGCTAAACTTGAATCGTAAGTGGTTAAACTTCACTCAGTGGTCACACTTTTCTCTCTCTCTCTCTCTCTCTCTCTCTCTCTCTCTTGGCCCCCCCCCACCCCCGGGTCAGTGCACACCAAACTTTGTTTGAGGCTTAGAGAGTCGGCTCTGGCTCGCTATCGGGGTGGCCGATCACATCAGAGTGTGTCTGAGTGTGTGTGCTTCACTGAAAGTCTTGGTGAATTTCATAGATGGGAGTGTGTTTGTACCTAAAGGTTAACTCTATCACAGAGGAGGAAGGTAAGCTCCTCTCTTCTCTCCTCTTCTCTGGCATAATTGCAGTTTTTCATCATACTGTTCATTTTGGTTAGACATAATAAGGATGTTTTCATAGTCTCAGATTAAAAGATGGTGAACATGTTTTGACTCTCTACCTTTATGTGTGTGAATGACTGATGCTGGTTTGGGCCTGTAGCTTTTTCCTGCAGCACTGTGTCGACCTCACTTGGCCTTTGTGTTTTTGTCATAGCTCACATGCCAGCATACAGTATGAAGAGAGTGAAATATGGATTTGGTTGGCTTCTTTGTGCATTTATGGCTCTGATTATGAGTGCGACTGTGTGTTTATGTTCAGGGCATCAGGATTGTAAAATGAGATTACAATGGTATTTTAGGTGCCACACTAGGTGTGTGTGTGTGTGTGCGCTGTGGGTGTGTGGGTGGGCGCTGCAGAAGGGAGGCATGGATAGGATCAGCTCTTATCTTGGCTGCCCAGTGCCACACGAGGTGTAACGCCACACCCACACTACAACACAGTGTGTTTGAACAGGCACACACACACATACACACTATGAGCTTGTTGTGCCATAGTTTGACTTGTATTATACAGTTTTTAAATTAGGATATGCAAATTAGGTGAGACTACTGTATAGGTCTAATATTAGAGCATGTTAAACAAATCAGAAATTCAGTAAAAACAAAAAAGCTTTTGATTGAAAAATCATTTGACACCAGTGGCCGCTGAATTTCAATAACAACTGTAATCTGGTAATTGAAATGGCACTTCTTTGGTAACATGGAAAGTCTCTTCTGTCTTATTTGGTGGCAGTCTGGGTCATGTCTTATCACTGGCCGGCTCCTTATTTGTCAAAATGTGCCCTTTATGTGTTAATTTGGTTATTGAATTCTGTTTTTTTGGCTTATTTATGTGCACGTCTGTTGTCATTCACCATTTTTTGACATGTAACTGCTTTGCTTGCCATATTCATTTTACAGAATGTGTGTATAGAAGCAGATGTAGGGTGACACCCATGTTCCTATGAACTCGCCTTCACTTTTAAAGCTGTATTCACAACAGTGGAGGAAGTTTAAATAAATTGCCATTTAATTTTTCATCACTCCTCTCTTGTTCTTATGATTTTTGATCAGATCCACTGTCAGTTCACGTTTGTCATGTGCGTAATCCTTTCTTAGACCCTCTTGTTGTTCCAGTGCTTTCCTGAAAAACTGAGGGAAATTGATCATTTACACAGGTGAAGAGCAACAGGAAGGGGTAGGAAAAATTTAGATCAAATCAGGGGGAGAATGAAGTATCACTTGAGTTTATATCCAGAGATCTGTGTGGAAGGCTGACCAGCGGGGCTCAGCATCAGTTAGAGGGAGAGAGAGATGAGAGCGGATAAGCTAAAGTGGATGAGACAGGCCTTGAAAAGGTTCGGCCACGGTTTTGCTGTCGGTCAGGGCCGGTTTGTCTCCAGGCTAAGATCTCAGAGTGGCTCGAACACAGCTGTACGTCTGTCTGCACACACTGACAACCAGCGCTGTCTGTCAGCCCTGTCTGGGTAAAGCTGATGGTTGTACAGTCGAACCCTCTCATGTAACTCTAGACCCGGTGTGGCTCCATACAAAACCGTAGATCTGGTTTTGTGTGTGTGTGTGTGTGTGTGTGTGTGTTTTAAATGAAACAGTACCGTAGATCTGGTTTTGTGTGTGTGTGCATGTGTGTGTTTTAAATGAAACAGCGAGCTGTTTCATATTCGTAACATGTCAGACACTATTGAATGGTTTTGTTTGAAGCTTTAAATTGATGCAGTTTGGATTATTATGGAGTGATTTTATAAACATTGGAATGATGTTAGATTTTACTTCATAGTTCTGGACAAATGTAAAAGTAAACAAAGTAATATAAGCGAAAATGTTTATTTTATATAACTATAGAAATGC